GGTATTTCGATTCCCCTTCTTTTCTTAATTTTTCCACTTCTCGTCTACTCTTTGAGATACGTTATTTACGAGGAGCTCTAATGTTATAGCTTAGAAACGTGTGTGCATGTACATGTACGTGTGATGTAGCATAAATGCTATATATATGTTGCAACGTTACAATAAATCATAGATACTATAAAACACTTTTATCGTGTATAGGAAACTTGATCGAAGGTTTACGACTTGTTCAGAGTTTAAAACAAAAATAAACACTATAAAACACTGTGTCAGTTTCAAGGTATCGGGATATAGAGCTTCATGTTGCGAGGCATTTTCGAAATTCGCGAATTTCGAAGCGGGCAATGAACTTGGAATTTAACACTTTGCACGCAGTTATCATTTAATTAGATTCTAAAGATCGATGTTAATTAATATATCAAATTTAAAATTACCTAACGATACGTGGAATGTCGAAGTTAAATAATTCTGCGTCTCAATTTGCATGCGATTTCTTATTTACCATTTTAAAAATATCCTCGACTTTCGAATTATTATTTTTCTGTGACGAAAATATCACCGAGTGCAAAGGGTTAATTTTACACGAGGTGTAGCTAGTCGCTTTATTCGAAGTCTAATTTCACGATTGTTTTATCCGAGGATGAAATTGTAGACTCGAGGACGGTGGATTTAAATGGTTAATAGAGCACGTTTTATCTTTCGTTTAATAATGTTTCATTCGTTTAATCAGCCATTGCTCGAGAGATATTTCCAGAGATAGACACTCGCGTTTCGCGATTTTTCAATACACTTGCACTTATTTTCGTTGCGTGTGGTATATCGTATGTAATCGTGTTACATAAATGTCACGAAGCAATAGTCACATTGTTATCGTTCAACGATGTAAATAGGCATTTTTAATCGCCTGCCTTGCTGGATCTCGCTGTCTCTTCAGTTTCACGAGCAAGCTCGTATACTGCAAGGAAATATATGGGTTGTTTGGAAAACCGACAAATTTTGAATTTAACAAAATATAAATACTCGACAATATAAAACTTTTAGCGGTATCATAAATTCCTAGATACACGAGGTACGTAACTTATCCTGGATATATAAAGAAACATTTACTTGAAGAAGCTGTGAAAAATTTCATTATTCTTTATAAAAAAAGAAGAAAAGGAGAAAAAATGTAAAAAGTAAGAAGAGAATATAAAAGTGATCGAAAATGTTACACGATAATAAAGAAATAAAATTGTATATTATGTATGAAGAAGGAAAAGAGCAAATAGGATTATTATTAAAATGTACATAATTAAATAGGGTAAATGAAATATATTGAAACTAAAATAGAAATTAAATAATTAAATGGGTAAAGGAAATATATAATAAATAAATAATATATAGTATAATAAATTAAATAGTATGAACAATAATCTACCGAAGACGAAAAGAGTAAACAAAAAAGAAAATAAATAAATAGTATATTAAAATAGAATATAATAAAAAGCAAAATATCAAATGTTAAAAATACTAATGAACGAATAAATGAACAAATAATATAGTAAAATAGAGTGAAACAAATTGAAATATTAAATATTAAACTGTAGCAGAATAAAAACACGTAATATACAAATAATACAATGAAATAGAAAGGAAGAAAAATAATATATTAAATATTAAGATATACAAGTATACATCCATATATACATAAATATACATCCATTGGTAATGGTAATAACGAGTAATATAAACGAACAAATAATATAATGATATATAATACAGTAAAATAAATACACGTAATAAACAAATAATTGCATGAAATAGAGTGAAACAAAAATAAAATATTAAGATATATAAATACAAACATGTGTGCATTCCTATGGTAATAACGAGTAATATCGGGAAAATTACTATACAATAATTACACGAATTACATAAGATTAATATGCGCTTACTACATAAGCATGTGATAATATTAACATATTAATATGCAGTATCACTGCACCCATCTCGTTGAATTAGGGAATTAGCAAGAGGAGGAAGAGGAGGAAGGGCAAACTGAATTGATCTCCGGAACTACGGGAGCTGATGTCCCTTACTTCCACCATTAACCTCTACAACGACGCACCAAGATGGCCGCCGCTATTAGGCCCAGTACTCTGCATCATGTTGCGTTACGCTGTGATAGATATGCGTTCACGTTAAGTGCCACCTGTTGTAACATTATACCGCGATACGATTCGCGTGTATCGCTGACGTAAAAATAATCACGGTATTGCTAAATAATTAATTACAGGATGCAAGGGTGATTCGGCGCTGCGTTTCCTCTTAACGAGAATCGCGTCTTGCTGGACGTCGCGGTATTATTTATATCACGAATGAATTTTATACGTCTGCAGAGAGATTTCAGGAGACTGTTGCACCGTTTAAACGTCTCTTGTAATTTCCGCGCGAAGAATTAGCCGTTCCTCCGACGTCGCTGGCTTTCAGCTCGAATTTAATTACGCGGTGGCGTTAATCCGACTTGCTCGGGAAAATATACCATTCGCGTTGACGAATATTCTCCACCAGTGTTTGGAATTAGTTTAATTGAAATTTTTCATTACTGTTGATCGAATAGTTAAAGTGACAAATGATGACGCACAAGCTATTTTTGGTATGGTCTGTGTAGCGTCCTATTTATCGAATCCCTTCGATGTCCTAGAACGTTTATCACGCGCCAAATTAATATTGCGTGACTAGTTGTAATAATAAGCATCCCGAAGTGTGTGTTGATAAAAGAGAGCGTTTATTTATAGAAAAGTATAGAACAGTTATAATGGAGACGTTGAACGGAGTACCGTTTCGAACACGCGTTTATACGTGTAAGTAAGATGTTTCAAGGATCGGTGTCGAAGACGAACTGATTTCTCGAATTTGATCTATGTCGTGTCTCGTCGTGTCCTGTCCGGTGTTTTCTCCAGTTTAGTTCTGATTGGGCAAAATAAACGTTGGTGGTGGAAAAGTAAGGAGTTTTAATTGGACAGAGGGTGTGACGGAAGGACTTTTGGCTGAGGAGTAGGAAACTGTCAAGGAGCTGATTTTTGATAGTCAATGACGTGATTTATAAGTGGTGTCCGTCCGTCGCTTGTTGGGTCTGTCACCCGTGGGTCCCATCTGTCGAGTCTGGTACTTGTAAAAATTCCTAAACTTTCGCCTTTACTTTTACAACTTAATCTGCTAGAACGGCGGTGAGGCACATCTATCCTCCGGAATTGCAGTCGCTATATAAAATATATCGTAAACCGTTAGGTCTGTTAAAAGTGTAAGCCTTAGAATAAAAATCATGTTATAAACACACTCTCCGGGACGGAACAGTCTGTTAACCCTTTGCACTCGACGATTTTTTGGCTAGAGAAGAGTAGAAATTCAAAGATTCTCTACTGAAACACTGACGATACTTTTTTAAGCAGTAAATAAAGAATTGTGTAATAACAGAATTGTAGAATTATTTGATTTTGGTACCTCGCACACTGTTACATTACTTTAAATTTGATATATTAATTAATATCCATCTTCCAAATTTTATGAAATGGGGACTGAAGCTCGAGTGCAAAGGGTTAATTTTGGTGCTCGCTTATTTGTGATTCGAATACTGCGAATTTTTGATATTTTATAATTTAATACTTTTATCTTGCTGTCGTATTCCAGTATTCCCCATTTTAATATTTCGGGGGGATTTTGGGTGACAAGAAATGAAGAGGTTGAAAAGTAATATACTAATTTTGGTATTTACTTGTACCACATCGTTTACTATTCAACTCTGCATACATGTTGATACATGTATTTACTATGTGATCAGTCCAATTTCTGTGATTTATTTAATTTTTAGTAATAAATTATTCTTCACATTGTACCATAATTTTTATATTATTTTAAAATTCGTGTTACAAAAATTATTAAATTAGTTTTAATAATAAGCCACCATATCTAATACCTTTGCCATTATTATCTGATCTAGGAAGCTACTCTTGTATGTATATTCTAACCTCTCTTTTAGTAAAATATCCAAAAAGTATCCGAAATAACGAGGAAAATAATTAGCCTTAAAACGGGATTACTCGTTACTTTATAGTTCTGTTCAGAAATTAACATGCTTACAGTAATGGCTACTATGCTATAAGAGAATTGGGATAGTGCTGCACAGCTGGGAAATTATTCCACGGGATATTGGAATAATGAAATAAAATATCTAACATTTTTTCTGATTCCTCATTTTAACGAATGCTTTCTAAAATAATCTCTGAGGAATAAGACACGGATTAGATGTTCGAGACGGGGCTTTAACAATCGGTGATAAGCTTGTTTGTTCCAGCGGAACAAGACTTTTAGCAACAGTCCTATGACGATGACAAGCATGAGGATTCAGCCGGGGAAAAAGAAGAAACGAGAAAATTCGCATAATCGATCATTTGTACAATTATAATTCGCATAATCGACCATTCGTACAATCATAATTCTCATAATCGACCATTCGTACAATCATAATTCGCATAATCGACCATTCGTACAATCATAATTCGCATAATCGACCATTTGTATAATAAAAATTCGCATAATCTACTATTTGTAAAATCAAAATTCGCATAATCGACCATTCGTATAATAAAAATTCGCATAATCTACTATTTGTAAAATCAAAATTCGCATAATCGACAATTCGTAGAATCAAAATTCGCATAATCTACTATTTGTAAAATCAAAATTCGCATAATCGACAATTCGTAGAATCAAAATTCGCATAATGGACCATTCGTACAATAAAAATTCGCATAATCGATCATTGATACAATAAAAATTCGCATAATGGACCATTCATAGAATCAAAATTCGAATAATCGACCATTCGTACAATCAAAATTCGCATAATCGACATTCTACCGTACCTTCTACGATCTCAAAACCATAACTGGGTCCATTTGCACCGAAGATCAATGAGGATCTATTCGAATTCAAAAATTTTCCTTTGTGTTTCGTTTCAGATCACTGGAAGTGTTCATGCAGCATGGCGTGAAACACTCGGAATTGCTGAAAGCACAACGCGCAGCCGGTGGATCTGGATTAGGAGGTCCTTTGAGGCACCGCAATGCTATTATGTTATGGCTGCGATGTGACAAGGTAAGTTAATCTTGCGTTTCGTCATTTTATAATCGATTGCTTGGAGCAATGATATTCAACAGTTGAATTCATCTGTATGACTGCTCCTCAGAGCAGTTGGGTTCAGTATTAACCCTTTGCACTTCGCTCACGTCGTTAGGGAGATTATCATTTGCTGTGAAATTTGTTATTTGGCTTTGTTTTCTGTGATAAAGATGTTATAAATTTATGCATATATTTATAATTCTTTTTCTGAAGGAGAAATTTTTAGCTACAAATAATTTTGTTTATTGGGAAATTTCAGACGTCGTTATGGAGATTATAATTTGTTATGAAATTTGTTATTTGACTTTGTTTTCAGTGATAAAGGTGTTATAAATTTGTATTATTTATAATTATTTTTCTGAAGAAAGAATTTTTAGTTTCGAGTAATTTTGTTTATTGGGAAATTTCTGACGTTATGGAGATTATAATTTGTTATGAAATTTGTTATTTGACATTGTTTTCAGCGATAAAGATGTTATAAATTTATATATATTTATAACTCTTTTTTTAAAGGAGAAACTTTTAGTTTCGAATAATTTTGTTCGTTGTAAAATTTCTGACGCCATTATGGAGACTATAATTTGTTATTTGGCTTTGTTTCTACTGATAAAGATGATACAAATTTGTTTTTTTTTGGGAGAAAAGCTTTTAATATCAAATAATTTCGTTCATCGCAATAGTCTATTGAAATTAATAAATTTTTGAAGTGGTTAAACCACTTGATAATGAGTTCCATTAACTGAAATATCCCTAAGTTTAGTGACTTTTGAAAGAAAATAGTTTTATGGACGATCGAGTTAATTTATAATTTTATAAATAATTTTTAGGTATTATAGTCTCTTTATTAGTTCTTTTAATATTATTTTAGAATAGGAAATGTTTTAGAAATTGAAAATAAAAATAGAAATATGGTGTTTTCAAAAATATAATATATAAAGAGCGACATTAATGTAATAATTCGAAGAACAGATTGAAAAAGAAGTGAGTATGAATCACTGAAAGAACCTTGTAATCGAGAAAGAAATTCTTTGTGAAGTTCTACTGTCGTCCTTTTTTATCATCGTTGGAGGTGACTATCTTAATCACTTCAGGAATTGAAATCAGCCTTGGATAGAAAAGAATGAAGTTAATTCGACATATAGATGTGTATATCCTTCTTTTAGATTAATTACTGCAAGATAACCTCAGTTTGCAATTTCTGACAATATTATTCATTTTTCACATTGTTCTTTTATTTAAAATAATAATCGAATAATTAATAGTAATACAGAAATTGAATTAATACATTCTGTGTATTCGATTATTTTGACTAATATTAGGAAATAAAATTTCAATATAATTTTATTTGCTAAGTAATCACAGAAAAATTTAATTAATATATTCTATGTACTCGGGTATTTTGACAAATATCGCGAAAGAAAATTTCTTATATTTTCTTTTCCCTGGGGATATCAAATGAATAATAAGCTGTGCAAAAATTTAATTCATTTTACATTACATAATACAATGTATATTTAATTAATAATACAGTTAATATATAATTGATACTAAGTAACTAATTAAACATTCTATCTGTTTAAGTATGTTGACAAATATCGTACAATTGCACTATATTATAATACATTCTACTTACTCAGGTATATTCATAAATATCACAAAAGAATTTACTGATATTCACTTATATTTACTTATATTTCCTTTTTCCTGGGAATATAAAATGAATAATAAATACCGATGCAAAAATTTAATTCGTTTTACATTACATAATACAATATACATTTAATTAATAATACAGTTAATATATAATTGATACTAAATAACTAATTAAACATTCTATCTATTGAAGTATGTTAACAAACATCATAAAACACATTGGTGTACATTTTTCTTTGCTTTAAGATTTAATCATCTCATCAATAATTAATAAATAATATTATTTAATAGTAATATACTATTAATAGTATACTATTTAATAGTAGTATTATATAATATATAATATTAAGTACTATAATTAACGCGATATAATTACATAAACGTTCCATGTACCCAAATATTTCAACAATTTCTTCCCAAATTTACTTTCCATTATCTCCAACAAACCACAAGACAACAACAAAAACAAAATTCAACTCTCTCCCATAAAACAGAAAAATAAATAAATAAATAAATCCCACAAATAAATAAAAACTTTCTCCTTATATATTACTCCAAAATTTATTCGTACTTCCTTTGTGATTTAAATCCGACCGCATTAAAAACCAAAATTCGTTGGAACCATCTTCCATCTTCTTCGTGTATCTGAAAGTCAAATCGGAATTTCGAGTCCTCTGCTGCCCTCTTGTCCGTGGAAAAGAGCTAGAGGATGTCAGGCGACCGTTTTCAAGGCTAGTCGGGGCGATCGTACCGGGTTTCATAACATTGTGCTACTTGATAAACGATAAAGTTTATCGGTCGGCCATTAAGTTCGGTCGCGCTGCTAACGCGCCAAAGATAATTCGTCCATTGAGTTTTCGTTCGTTACGAGGTTAAATCGTGGCGATGCGTAAAACGAGGATCGTTCGCTCGCCACTTCCTTTGATAACTCGCGAATCTTATCTGCAACGACTCGGATACGCGGGTTAGATCATTGTGGGATTTTGCGCGGGAAAACGACGGGAGGAAAATTGAAAACTGTGATCGGTTCGTCGATAGAACTGGGTTCCCTTGTATCCTGTTATTATTACCGGAATGGTTTCGATATATGAATATTTTATAAAATATGTTTTCTTTTTCTTTTTCCAAAAGAAATCAAAAACTGTGATCGATTCGTTGGTAGAATTAGGATTGTTTGTATCTTATTATTATTACTTGAATGGTTCCAAAATATGAATATTTTATAAAATATCTTTTCCTTTCCTTTTTTCAAAAGAAATCAAGAACTGTGATCGATTCGTGGTAGAATTAGGTTTATTTGTATCCTGCTTTATTATTACTTAAATGGTTTCAATATATGAATATTTTATAAAATATGTTTTCCTTTTCTTTTTCCAAAAGAAATCAAGAACTGTGATCGATTCGTCGGTAGAATTAGGTTTGTTTTCGTCCTGTTATTATTACTTCAATGGTTTCAAAATATGAATATTTTATAAAATATGTTTCCTTTTTCTTTTTCTTGTTATTTAGAGAATTAACCCTTTGAGGATGAATGCTCAATAACGTGTGTGGAAATTGTTATTCCTGCTTAGAATATAGCGAAGAATAATTTTAGCATTTTCATCAGTGTTGTATATATTTTTTAATTAGAAAATTTCCCTCGATTTGTTACCTTTAATTGTTTATTATATATTTCTTGTATCGTTATCTTCGTTTCTCGTCCGTGAAGGGATAATTGTGAATAATTAATGTTTATTGTCTAGTGGTTATAATGTATAATTTAAGACGCAGTGAACTGTTTAGAACTGGATTTATTTTTATTTTCTATCGTTATTGTTTGAATGTTTTCTAAATATGTATTTCTTTTTCTTTTACTGTTATTTAGGGAATTAATTAGTAGGGAATAATTATTATGTATCGTTTAGTAGTTGTAATGTGTAATTTAAAACGTAGTGAATTTATTACAAGTTATATTTGTTTTGCTTCCTGTTGTTATTATTTGAATGATTTTAAAGTATGAAAATGTACAAACTCATATTTTTGTTTTTTCTTTTTATTTGGCATTTTTGCTGTTATTCGGGGAATTAGTATGTATAGTATAGAAGGTATAATGTGCAATGAAAAAATTTACCTTGATTAGCTAAAATGCAACTGTGAAAATGAACTATTAATCTACTTTGAATAATACTATTAATTAAAAGATAATAAGAACGAGTGTTACACATAATTAAAAAATATAAAAGAAATTGAATGACACAAATAATCAAATTTTATAATAATAAAAATAAGCAAAGAATATATATTAACAGAATTTAATATAATAGTAGCAATGGCAAGACAGACTATAATAGTAGCAATAACAGAATTTAATATAATAGTAGCAATTTTACAAGTATCTTGGAAATTAGATCCCATCATACATAACAAGTATTATTCAAAGAAATAGTTACAAAATATTAATTTATACAACATATAAAAAAATCATAAAAATCAATGGAGTATACCCTAATCTACAAAATTACCAATTAATTTCATAATACGTGATATTGTCCATTTTAAATTCTCGCAGTTAATACTAAATTTCGATTCGACATATCAGAATATTTTTTCCAGCATCTGAAAATGTGAAATATTCGAGAAATCTGGTTTCACGACAGTTAATACGACAGTTTTACGATCTGGAACAGGAGAGACTCATATTGACCAGCTCGTTGGGGGTCATGTGTGAATTAAAAATAATTGTAGTACATTCCTATAACATCGCTTACGTCTCTTGATAAGGGATAAAGTTTATCAGGTCCCTCGGTGCTTGGCTGTTCAGTTAATCGTTCTTTTGGACACACCAAAGTAATCGGTCGCGTTATCGTTAATACTTCATTCCGTGTCCCAAATACAGATATCGTGTTCGGAGAATTTTGAACCTGTGCGAATGATGCAATGGTTAACCCGATTGCCCTGAAGTGTTTTGTTTCTCCTTTTAAATCTTTCATTAAAGATTTTATTATAATATTTTTATGAATTACTCGTTTTAGCGATATTTTGACTTTTCAATTAGAACGTGAATGAACATATTTTGATTTTTGTTTTCTCCTCGGAGATTATATTTTAATTTTTTAATAATTATTTTCTTTTGATAATTTTTTAATTTCTCATTTTGCAAATTGAGAAAGGAAACCTCTCATTTTCTCTGCCCTTTCTGCCTGGTGATTTAAATATAATCATTTATAAATCAGTGCATTTTGAATGTGTTTTAATCTTCCAATTAAACATTGATGAAGTCACTCTTTTTCTCTCTTTAAAGATGTTATACGAATTTTTAAAAAATGTTCAAAAATTATTTGGAA